AGAGACGCAGCAGGGGGACGCCGTCCTGCAAAGCTGGTCATCACTCCCCAGAGACGCAGCAGGGGGACGCCGTCCTGCAAAGCTGGTCATCACTCACACTGCTACTGTCCGCTCTCTCTGAACTCAAACATTCCTTGAGAGACCAAACCGCCCTGTTCTAGTCTGTGACTTGCCATCAACAGAGTTCATGTCAGATGAGGACAGAAAAGCCCAAAGCCCAACTTGAGGTTATGGTGCCTTGACTGAGGAAGTGTCTCAGTGAAAGGGTCACACTGCCCAGCATTTTCAATGTACCATGTTTGGCATGCATTTTTCACATGCTGGGGCAACGCACAATATTAAAATTCAGGGTGGGTGAGGAATAGGCCTCTGTCGTGGACAGAGCATCACCCCAAATTCCTATGTGGCAACCCTGTCCGCTACTGTGAGGGTATTAGAAGGTAGGTCTTTGGGGCTAATTAGATGAGCTCAGGGGGTTGGAGCCCTCAAAAGCTCAACTAGTGTCCTTTTCAGAGTTCGGAGGCAACTGGTTTCCGGTCTCCACTATAACACAGAGAAGAGAACCTTCAGCAGACCCTGAACCTGCCAGCACCCTGATCTTGGACTTCCAGACTCCACAACTGCAAGAAATAAATATTCAAGCTGTCACAGCAGCCTGAGCTAATTTCATAGAGTGTCTTTCCTGAAAAGAGGAAGAAGAGGAATTGAGTTTAAAGGGGAGTAAAGAGCTGGTATGGCCACAAGAGCAATCTCGGGAAAGAACGTGCAACATGGTACAGGGCTGACTTGAGTCTCCCCCAAAGATGCCTTAAGGCCCGAACCCCAGCCCCTGAGAACACGACTTTATTTGGAACCAGGATCACGAAGATGCAATTAATGAGGACGAGGTCAACTGGAGTAGGGGACCCTAATCCAACACACCCGTTGTCCTTGTCAGATGACACCCAGAAGGCAGGACCTGCTGTGACACAGCTGCAAGCCAAGTGCCCCTGAGGACAGATGCCACACTGACGATGCAAGGGTGCTGCCCAGAGTCCTGGGGAACACGGCCTTGCTGAAACCTTAACTGTGGGCTGCTGGCCTCCAAACTCTGAGGAGAATTTCTGTTGTCTTAAGTCACCCAGTTTGTGGTACACTGTCATTACAACGTAAGAAAATTAATACAACTCCACACAGAAGCTGAGGATCCGGAAATCGAGTCCCCGACACCACTGTGTCTGCACAGCCTTGGAAACATGGCCCTTCGTGAGAGCATCAGCTTCCAGAACCTCCACCCTTCCTGCTGCCCACTGCAACTATAGCAAGTGGGAGGGCAGCTGCACAGAACCCTCTACACACACACACACACACACACACACACACACACACACACACACACACACACACCAGGGTCTGATGCAAAGCTGGAGCCCCTGGGGCTCCATCCCCATAGCCCTTGGTGACTGACGGCACTCTGAGAGCCAGCAGATAAACAGAAGTGACAGCTTCCTAAAATCCTTCACCTCTCCTAATGGAAAGCAGTAAAAAGTGTCAAATATCCTTTCATCTTTGAGATTCTGGCTGCACAAATACCATGTTAAGAATTGATAAACTGTTTCTGCTTTATCCTATATGTTGTTCCACAACTCTAGAAGACAAACGGACAGCCAGAGCTAACTGCTGAGTCAAAAAAAGTCATAGTTCAACTATTATGGTTCTTAAAAATAAACAGATGTCAGGTGGTGCCTGTGGCTCAAAAGGGTAGGGCACCGCCCCATATGCCAGAAGTGGCCGGTTCAAGCCCAGCCCTGGCCAAAAAAAAAAATAAAAAACAAAATAAATAAATAAATAAATAAACAGATGTCACCGGCCAACTTCCTAATGCCTCACAAACTCATCACTTTAATATGGTCTGGGTTAGGCTATGATACATGCACCCACTTCAGTTCTCTTCATAGCTGACTGGGGAACAACATTTTTAAAAAAATAGTACAATATGAAGCTTTATAGCTAAAAATCACAATCCCCCCCAAAGCAAAATATTTACACAGGTCCCTTAACAAGTGTTATAATTTATTTGAAATTCAAATTAACTTTCAATGACAAAAACAGGCAAAGGGTAACACATGCCATTGATTATTGAAATCTGTACTCTGGCTCGGCTCCTATAGCTCAACCAGCTAAGGCGCCAGCCACGTACACCTAAGGTGGCGGGTTCGGATCCCCAGCCCGGACCCGCCAAACAATGACGGCTGCAACCAAAAAATAGCCGGGCGTTGTGGCGGGCGCCTGTGGTCCCAGCTACTTGGGAGGCGGAGGCAGGAGACTCGCTTGAGCCCAGGAGTTGGAGGTTGCTGTGAGCTGTGATGCCACGGCACTCTACCCAGGGGGACAGCTTGAGGCTCTGTCTCAAAAAAAAAAAAAAAAAAGAAATCTGTACTCTGTAAGAATCAAATTCCTTCCCAATGTATTATTTCTGAAGAATTCCACTGCTCGTTGCTCGGCCCACATGCCAGTGAAACCCACACAGCCACGCTGACGACAGTTACTTGTAGTCTAATACGTTCATCCCTCAAGTTTCAACACGTAAAGGAATAAAACTGAGAACGACAATGCCTAAGGCAGAGAGCAAGTGGGAAACAAGATGACTGAGTCAACTCACAGAGTTCCCCTGAGGAAACGAACACGGCCACAGCAGATCCCTCGAGGCTCACCACTGGCAGCTAAATTTCTTCAAAAATCAGATTCCAAATGTCCCACCATCTACTTCCAATCTGCTTTTACAGACTAGGGTATCAGTATCTCTTTCAAAGGATAAACAGTGTTCTTCTCTGAGGAATTCTTAAAACTTCGGAAACTATATATAAAACTGATAGCCTCTCTGGACTGGTATTTATAAACTAGGAAGACGGCAGCTATGATGTCCTCTCACACTTCACAGGTCCTGTGAAGTGGTTGATGGTTTCCAGTCAGAGTAGATCTTTTTATCAGATATCACAGATCTTTTTATCACCTATTTCAAGTAGAATAACTCTTAGAAATGTTTAAGTTACAATTCCCAGGCCTTTCATTTCCTTGAAAAAAGGAACTACACTGGAAATGTACAATACTTGGTTATTCAATTCAAAGAGACATTTGAGGGTGCTCTTTACCTCATTTCGTGCAGACTCCTTGGGTCTGAATGAATAACACATTAATTATTCTGAATAATCAGACATTCTAAACATTAAAGACTATTACAGGCCGGGCAAGTTGTAATCAGCACTCAGGGAGGCCACAGGGGGAGAATCGCTTGAGCTCAGGAGTTCAAGACCAGCTGAGCAAAATCGAGACCCGTCTCTACTAAAAATAGAAAAAATTAGCCAGGCAGAGTGGCAGATTCTTGTAGTCCCAGCTACTAGGGAGGCTGGGGCAGGAGGACGGCTTGAACCCAAGAGTTCCAAGTTGCAGTGATCCGTGATGATGCCACTGCTTTTGTAGCCTGAGTGACAGAGTGAGATTGTCTCCCCCCCAAAAGAGGAAAACAATTATATACCAAACAGACAGGCAAACATGGTGGCATTATTTTAAAATCCAGATATATTTTTAAAAGATCATACTTGTAATAAGTAAATTACATTGTAGAGAAACATCAAAATAAAGTTGATGAATAAGAAGGCACACTTGGGAAGTTCAAGAGTAGAAAGGATAGGACAGTTCTGTTTCTAATGCAGGAAGGAAAGTTAACAGACACAGTGAATTTTGTTTCAGGGGACGTTCTCTGTCAGTTGAAGTAGTTAACATTGGCTTTCCTTCTTGTCCAGAGCAGTCACTTCCTGCGCTGGCTTCTGAGACGGTGTTTAATCTTCCGCCACGTAGAGGCGATACATCAGGGCAACAAGCAGTGCTGAGACGGCAGGGATCACCCAGTTGGTCCACCAGCTAGAAAGACACAGGGAGTAGAGACGCTTGCCTGACGATCACTGCAGGCAACTCAAAGTCTCTGTTCTCCTAACAGAAAATTACCACGGCATGTTCTTCTTATCTCTGTAACTAATGTGGCTGAACAGACGATTTAGATTTGCTAAAAGTGACGTGAGTGTGTGCCCTGGAATACCGGCTACTACTAAACCCTGCCAGCCTCACAAAACCTGCTTCACCCTGTTCTACTCCAGCCTATTTCCATAAACCTGACACAGGACTGTTTTCAGTTTTCCAGGAGACACCACCTGGGAGCAGGGATTTACCTCCATGACGTGAACTCTGGGTTACATATTGCAAGTTAACAAAAGTCAATACTCCTTACAGATTTATTCTGGTTATATACATTGATTAAGAATTTTTCATTGAACTGAGACTCAGAAGACCAAAGATCTCATTTCAAGTGAGCCATCAGCAAGCTCTACAGCAGCAGTTCTCAACCTGTGGGTCGCCACCCACAGGAACTGTATTAAAGGGCCATGGCATTAGGAAGGTTGAGAACCACTGCTTTACAGCCAACAGCAAATCACTTCCACGGCTGTAAAGTGATGAGTGTGGCCCAAACCATTACTCAGATCCCTGCTAACACCTGGCCCCTAACTAATCTTTACAACCTGTGCCTAGTGGATTTAAGATTAAGAAACAGCATGCCCAAACTACTTAGTCTGTGATCTACAGGTCTAAATTCACAAAAATGCCTAATTTACAATGTTCAGTCCTGATGCATGAAAGTTTGATCTTCTAAAAATTACAGATTATAGACCAAATCAGAGAGCTGGAAAAACTTCAATTTATATTTACATCTTCAAATTAGATTAGAATCTTTAATTTAGATTTTAAATTTTTAGGGAACAGAAATATATAAACTTTCACATCTAAATAAACTATGTATACATGTATTTTCATCATAAACTTTCTATCCTTTAATATTCTTCACACATCAACCCATTCAAAGATGATAATATGAAGATTTAAACTGCAAATGGATTACAAGTGTACTTTTCATCTCAGTTGGGTTTGCTAGGTTTTTCCGTTTCCCCTGAGAAAGAAACTTGCATCCCTGAAGAGTAAGATGAAGAGATACCCTCAGGCAAGGAGTGGCCTGAGACTCCAGAAGGAGTGGCAGGTGTGTGGTTTCTGAGCTTGGGTCCAAAAGAAAAAAAAGCCTATTAAGTTATTAAGTCAATACGGCAGAACAGCCAAAAATAAAAAAATCTGGTCCCCAGAATAAGTGAGTCATGTAACACTTGTATTAGTGGGTTCAACTTTAGTGTCAACTTATAAAAATGAGAAAGAGGGGGACGGCACCTGTGGCTCAGTGAGTAGGGCGCCAGCCCCATATACCGAGGGTGGGGGGTTTGAACCCAGCCCCGGCCAATCTGCAACAAAAAAAAAGCCGGGCGTTGTGGTGGGCATCTATAGTCCCAGCTATTCAGGAGGCTGAGGCATGAGAATAGTCTAAGCCCAGGACTTGGAGGTTGCCTTGAGCTGTGATGCCAGAGTACTCTACCAAGGGTGATAAAATGTAATAAGACCGTTCCTATGTTTTCCTTTGGAAAAAAAGAAAAAAGCACTCTAGACCACCTTTCCCTGAGGGGGACTTCCCTCTCTTTGGTCACCCTGACCATAAACTTCTAAATGAGGAAAAAAAAAAAAAAACTGACAAAGAGAAAACTGAGCTGTGGTTAGGGAAATTTAAACACTACAGTTTAAAGAACCGGCAAGCATCAGGCGAGGAAGGTGAGTCTGCCTGGACAGAAGCCTGCCCCGCCTGAGGACTGGCCATCTGAGGGGCCACCCTGGGGATGGAGACAAGACTGGTGCTGCATGTTCGGGGGTGGGGGGACCGGATGCAGCCAGAGGGTGAGGTCTGGGGTGCCTGTGAAGAGCGTCACCAGTTGGGGCTGCCTGACAGTGTGGGACTGAACCCCGACAGGTCTGGTGCACAGTGGAAGATCACAGAGAGGCAGCACGGGGACCCAGGCAGAGGCCGCAGCACAGGCACCCACTCCAACTCCGTGAGTCCTGCACCCGGGTCAGGCTATAGAACTACCACGTACCTGGAGTTAGAGTCGACAGTAGTAATAAGAGTTTCCTGGAACATAAGAGGAAAAAGTAAAGTTAAAGGGAATGTCCAAATACTTATTCCATTGACTAAAGCCTGTTTTAGAATAAGATCACAGTATTTTACGCAATGCACCCTTCAAAAAATGTTAGAAGGGAAAATGACATCATCAATATCTTTTCACGAAATTGCTTAATTTTGCCATTTTTTCCAGAATAAAAAATGTAAGCATTATCTATATTTAAACTGCTTGCAGAGATAACCTAGATAATTTGAAAATTTTAAAATTAAATACACTGCATAAAACATCCCACCCACAATAGGCATCTGAGTACTTTAATGTCGGTACTGAGAAGAGACAGTTACATACACACACACACAGCCCTCTGCCATCTTTAGGAAGAGTAGCTTATTTCTTCAAAAGCACAAATGAATGTTCAATAAAAACATCAGTCATTCCATTCAAATCTGGTGGATGTAAAAGTGTGCCTAAACTGCATTAAAGGCATGTCCACCAAAAAGAAAAACTAAGAGCTGTCTTTTTAAGTTCTAGCACTCTTGACCACCTTTCCCTGAGGGGGACCGCCTCTCTTTGGTCACCCTGACAACAACTTCCAAATAAGGAAGCCCTGTTTTTCCTGCCCAGCACTTCTGAGAGCAGTCTTCTAGTGAGCAAAGTGATCTAATAACCAACAGCTCTGGAAAAATGCAAACTTCCCTTAACTCTGAAAATTAAGGCCTAGTGAAATACAAACTTCCCTGGGCTTAACACGCTGTAAGAAGCATTCTTTTGCTACCTCACACCAGCAAAGTATTAGTGCCTCACACAAAAGCAGCTGTAAATAAGGGAGCTTCTTCAGAGAGCTCTATGCCAGTTTCTTCAAGCACAAATAAAAAAGTATTAGCAAAACACTCAGCTGTGTGTAAGAGGCCAAGCTCCACTCTGCCAAGCGCGTAAAGAAACTGCCCTGAGAAGGCAGAAAACCTCTCAGGAAGAGCAGGCGAAGCAGTGATGAGACCCACCAACCTTGAAATCGCGCCTTTAAGATTCCTGACACGGTAGGAGGAAAAAATAAGTCATTTAAAAAGAAAACTTCGCAATATCTATTTAAGCAATTCTAAATCTTGGCAACTATAAAAATAATTCATAACTATAGTAAGATTTTTCGAACTTTAAATACATGAGTAAAATTAACAAAGACTGCTAGAAATAAATCAAAATGTGCAAAAACAAATGTCATTTAGCTATTAGAAGACAATCAGTTATGAAACAACAGAACTCACTGAAGGTAGAATATTATTGTCACACCAGAATGTTAAGCTTGACACAGTACACAGAAGGCAAACTCAAACATTCATGACATTGTTAAACTGAGCACAAGGGTATTTCACGGGACATGCTCATGACCCTGGAAACTCAGCCCCCCCCCCGCCTTTGTTGTTGCCACGCTAATGTCCAAAGGCCGCTATTGCATCCCTACCCGCAACAATGAACTTCTAACAGATGAACTAAAGAAAATCACGTAACTTTGATTGTTTAATATCTTCTTGGCTCTATAACCCAGGATATTAGACAGTCAAAGCAAGTTTAATTTACCACTTAGCACTATGATGAAAAAGGAAATTGTCCTTAGTGGCCAATGTGCTGAGGCCTCAATTGTGTTCAAGGATGTAACTATCAAATACGTCACTGATAAAAAGGGGGGGGGGGGGAAGACTACTGTTTCTATGATAGGCTCTGTCACTTATTCATTCCAGGACCTTGAGGGTTAAAGTACAGCAAAAAGAGGGCAACAAGGAAATCAGTGTAAGTCACAGGTAATGACTCATAAAGTCATGTAAATCAGTGTAGGCTGTGATAAGCTCCATGCAAAAGCATGCAAAGTGCAAGAAGCTTTTGCAAATAAGAGTCATCTCACTGGTAATTTCATTTAACTTTGCCCATCCTTTCCTAGAAAGATTTCCTCCTTTAAAATACTGACATTTGATGCCCAGCATGTCAACCCAGAGCCTCTGGAGGAAGCTTGAGACACAGAAGCTGATGAGCCTGAGAGAATGTCAGACTCAGTCCTGGCCCACGTGACTTTGAACTTACACACTTCCACGCTTCATCTCCCATCCTTGGCAGATCTATGGATCTCAATGACTTAGTGAAAATCCAATAATTTACAGAACAATGCTTTGAATACTATAATGCTTTGAACAATACTCTATCCAAGAAAGGGTACTGCTACTGCTAATGTCCTCCATGTAAGCAAATTTGATGGACACAGGTATGTTTAGTTGATACAGTTAATTTAAAAGCCTAATTTCTATGTCTACAGACACCTAAATTTGGCAACTTAACACTACCCTTTCCTTTGGGCAGTTTCTAGTCAACAACTGTTGGTGCATTTTACTTCACATTTCAACTAGATACTCGAAGCAGGCCAATGTTTCAAAAATCCAGACTACAGTGAACACTTTTCAGACCACAGACAGACGGTTATACAGACATATGACAAGTATCTAAGGGCGCTCTTTTCTTCTCATAAACTAAAAGTACAAGAATGATAAATCCAGAAAAGTGGTCACATATTTTCTTGCATTTCATGTACTTACAACTTCTCAAAAACCCAGCAAGTTCTTGTCCCACATTTCCGCAGTTCTGCTCTAATTTAAGCAAAGTCACACAATGGAGGTTTTATTACTGTTTAAATAAAATACTCAAGTTGGTGCATCTGTAAAATCTCTGAAGAGTACAAATACTTAGAATTACTCCTTTAAAAACTTAGTGCAATTTGTAAAACTCCAGTTAGATCTTCTACACCGGCAAGCTGATCAGATACATCAGCCACTGAAGACGACATGAGGACAGCCAGTCTCAACACACTGAGCACTGTCATTCCATCTCATCGCGCTAAGGAAAGTTCTCTTTGATGTTGAAAGCTAAATTCCCAGAATTTAGCATGGAAACTTGCTCTGTTTCCAGAACACTGAGTATCAAAGTGATCAGCACTTTAAAATAGAAAAATCAGAACAACAAATAGCAATGAACTCTTAGTTCCACACAAGCGTACTGGTTATGATGCCTACATTACAGCAAATATAGCAAATAAAGGAGCCTGCCCTTCAAACACGGAGCAGTTAAGGCAGGAGACACATCTACCATTGTAGCAGCCCATATAGCTTTTGGCTAGGAGTGAGAGTTATAAGTAACACCTGTATAGCTCAACAAGGAATACCTTGGTGAAAAGGGCATGAGGAGGAATTTAGCTAGATGAGAGTATTAGTGAATTGGCAGTCTCTACACCTGTGGTGTCGAGAGGCAGGCGATCAGCCTCATACTAGGCTGGAGGAGAAGGCAGTTGGGAGTGTGCCCATTCTATCATAGACCGTTCACTCTGTCTTCTCTCCTGCCTGTAGAATGCCAGCACAGTGTCACTAAGCTCTGCTAAAGATTAAGATCTATCTTTCTTTTTTTTTTTTTAAATTAAGTCAAGTACACATAGATCATGAATACCTTCATGCATATGTGGGGTACATTGTGCTGATTTTTTTTATATACAATCTGACATGATTAGATCAAACCAATCAAGACTGCTTTCCTCTCTCAAAAGCTCTCTCCTCCCTCCCCCTTCAATCTGCTAAAGTAAATAGCTCTCAGGCACCTAAGAACAATCTTTCCTGAGCAAGGTAGCATAGCAGTTGATAAGCCAGGGCCTGAGACCAACCAGTCCTGGGCCCTGATAAGTGGCATCCATGAAGGGACCCCAACATACCACCTCAGACCTCATGGTGTTTCCTGCTGTGGGCATTTTTGAGTAGGAACACAGATGGCCCTGGGGTGATCCAAGTTCATGGAAGAGACTTATCAAATCTTTGTTTTATTACAGCTGACTTATGCCAATATTATTAACATATTGAATGCCTGACAGGAAAAAAATATACTTTTCCCTGACAGATTTTAGACTTTAGAGAAGAAAGAAAAACTTCATGTATCCCAGAATTTCAGCTGTCCTAAAAGCAGCCTCAAAAAATGTGCTAATGTTAAGTAAACTAACAGCAAGGATTCCAAGCAATTGTTAAAGAGGCCATTCAGACTCTGAAGTCCATCTTTTATCTCATGTCACAAACATTGAACTTCAGTCTTTTTTTGAGCAGAGAAAGGAGAGGACATAAATGAAATTGCTTTGTACTAAATAGCGTTACACAAGACCTTTATTATACTACTTGGCATGTTGAGATAAACACAGCCTTTATGCTCATATTATTGAAATAACTTTGATTTTGTTACAGATTAAAGATAACCCCTTGGCAGCAAAGCTTGCAAAGTAAGCTCATCTATTGTTGATATAAGATCAATGGAGTCTCGCTGTTGTGCCCTAATGAGGGCACAAAATGCACTAAGATGAGAACAATTATACTTTCTGCTGCTTGTTTTAAGAAAACCTTTCCCTCATAGTCCTTTCCTTACAGGCCGGGAGCTCTTTTGCCTGCCTGTACTTTTCAGGAACTTTGGCTGTTCTCATCAATTCTTACTCTGGACTGTCTTCACTTCTGTGTGGAATGATCAGTAAACAGAGGGCCTAGTGACCCACAGTGTGACGCTAGGAATACTAGAACTGTTTTCGTTTCCTCTGGGGGAAAAAAGTCAAAAAGGTATTATTTAATATTAAATTTATCCAGCAAACATTTATGGAACGCCTACTATGCCTCAGAGATGTAGAGATGAAGATGACACGGGTGGTCCTCAAAGACTTAAGGACTCTGCTCAACCAGATTTTAAGTGCCTAAAAAATTCAGGCTTGTATCAAATCTTTCAGGTAGAAGCACAGTACTTGCTACCTATAAAGAGGAGCTCTTCAAAAGGTATTTCCTAATAATTATCACGAAAAGAGTAGTTTTAAGTATTGAGAGTTTTACAAAGTAACACAAGCTATCCCAGCAAAACATACTGACCAGCCTATACAAATACACCTTTCTGCTGAGCCAGGTCCTAGGTGCACATTCCCCTCACCTAGGAAGACTCCTGCTGGTCTCAGCCAGGCAAGTAAAAGGCCTCTGCCTTCAGTGTAACAGGTGCTAAAGACAGTGCAAATAACTCTCTCCATCAAGACATCTGAGATGGTCACACTTACCGAAGGCTTGGTTATCTTTGATCTGTCATCCTGAAATTAAAAAAAAAAAAAAGGGAGGTTATGGAATGAGAAAAAATTTTTAAACCATTCCCAAAGTGCTGAGGGGCATCTTCTATCTAGAGTTCCAAAGCCTAGAACAGCATCCCTGACAACCCTCTGAACTGGGTGATGTGCATACACATTCATTAGACTTGGACTACGATCTTTAATTTGGAGAACAGCTGAAGACATAATCCTTTCCTCCAATCTCTCAAATTCCCTTTGAGATATCTACTACTTTTATTTGCATGATATCCTCAGTGAATCCCTCCTCTCTCCCAATTGTAGGGTCATAAACTATTTAAACATCAGGCTGAAGCTATCAAAAATAGTGTGTCTAGATGCCGGCCACAGGGAAGCAGAAGGCAGGGAGAACAGAAATGCTGCAGTCAGGGCCTGAAACCCATCCCACCACCCCAATGGGAAGTATACGACAAGCCTCTCTCATTGCTAGAAAAATACTTCACTTCTGCAAAAGTTTGAAAATATGGGGCCAAATAAACTTTCCAGGTGAATGAAAGCTTACTCCCTGAAAGTACACATCTACCACCAAACCCCAAAATGAACCTCCCACTTGGAAGTTGCTCTAAAATGGATTTCTTACCCTACAAAGAGCCTGACAGAACCCTTCCCCCTTCACAGTCATCAGAGAGGTATCAATGAGATACAATGAAACTTTTTGTTTGTGCTAAGTGTTTTTGAGTTTGCTCACTTGAGATTAGGCTATTTGCCTGCATTATTTTTCTTGTGAGGAAAAGAGGCAGTTTCTATCAGCACCTCAAACCCTCTTGATGCCCAGGGAAGCTGAGCAGCTGGGCAGGCAAAGAGAAGCAGGTGCTCACTAGAGATCAAGAGGGTGCCTGATGCACCTGCAGAGCTCAGAAGGCTCAGAAATGTCTTTCCAAGTTTTCAACTGTATTCCTGACAACTTAGGTTGACAGCCAGTCAAGTTTAACATGGTCATATTAGAACTACCATAGAAGGGCTTAATTTCATGCCACAGCCCTGTGTTTATATGAAAACTAAGTCAGGTTGGTGCTTCCAGAAGTGAGAGAATGGGGTGACATCAAAGCTGTGTCCTCAGCGGTCTGGTGCAGTGGACAGAATGAAGGCAACAGGCTAGTTGTACATGGAAGGCACAGCTCATTCATTTAACATAGCGTAGTGTTCAAATGTTTTAAATCACTTTCTACATTTAAAATATCTTCAGAAGGAAGAGGGTTTCCTCAGAAAAATATTTTGGCCAAAAAATAAAGAAGGGAAAGAAAACTATGCTAGATTATACCTTTAGAAAGTGCCAGTGAAAAATGTAACCAGTGAAATAGAAGGAAATTGTTGGTCAATTTGTTTACGACAAAAATGATGTTCTAAAATCAGAAGGAAGTGTTTTAAATTTGGATACAGGCAAGCCAATAGCCTTAAAAAGAAATATGAAAAAAGTACTCCCCCAAAGGACTTACTGGATGAAGCTCCCCAATGATGTATGTTTTGGACAACTCCCGAGCGTCCGTGGAGTGTCCGACATCCTCAAAGTTCTCAGTAGCATCACCTCCAGCTTGTTCCCTCAGCACTTCTTCCCCACCAGGATGCTGTTCAAAGGATAGAATAAAAAATATTTTTTAAGCATATGAGTTAAAAGAAAATGGCCAGTTTATTTAACCAGATTACTCCAGAAGTAACCAACAGTCTTAATATAAACAGAACTACAAAAGGGAACTCCTCACCTTAATTCCTGACCAAGAACGGAAATGAGAGATACGTATATATCAATCTAGCTGACTTATGCCTTGCCTAAACCATTTGTCAGGCAATTTTCTAAGAAAAACAGAAGAGAAAGAGAAATATCTTGGATTACTGGTTTCAATGATGACTGATAAAATTTTTAAAGTAGACGAGAAAACTACTTAAGAAAAAAAAAATCACATAGAATCAACTCATTGATACTAAAATATCTTCACTACCCTGAAGATTTGGTTTTAACAATTAGAAAGAAAATCAAAGAGTAAAAGTGACTATTTTAGAACAACTCAAGTCGTGGTTAAGATAGTAAAAGACTTGGGACTGGATTTTTGTAGTATCTAATATTTTCCTTGAGATATATTTATGAGAGATGCCTGGCCAAGTAAATGGAGTTTACATCGCCACATGTGGAGACCTCACAATTCATCTTACAGCTTTTCACACTCTTATCAGCTTGAATAAGCTAAAGAAAAGGGTCTTCCTCATAGTCACACTCTCAACTAAAAAAGATCAACTGGGACAGCTGGAGGCTGTGCCATGGTGGTCATTCCCCAAGGTCATTGTATGACAGCAATTTGTGGCCTTTTATGTTAGGCAGGTTATAGAATTTTGGGGTGGTCCAGAGAAAGGGTAAGGCTTCAAAAAAGGAAAATGGTAGACAAACAAGTGAATGAAATTATCTGATGATTTACTGAAAGACTTAAAGAAAAGACCAAAACATATAGTCACACATAAGCAGGATTAGAGGTAACCAAAGAGGCTAAATTCTCCCTGAGTCTCCAGAGAGTCTGAGCCAATCAGAAGCCCTGGCTCTACTATGGCGAGTCCACAGCAGAAACCTGCCTTTTGACCTCCCTAATGCAGGGCTCAACACACCTCTGCCCACGTGGTGGCAGCAACCAGCTGGAGCGCCCAGAGGGAGGCAGAGGGTGGGCAAAGGATGTTGAGAGGACAATATAGGAACGTAAAGGGCAGACTGAGGACAGTCACAGGAACACAAGGCTGTTTTCACCTGAGCTGCCCTAACAAAGTCTTCCATTTTTCCAAAGGAAGATTTCAATTTCCATTTGTGTCGTGCTGAAGTTAACTCACTCAAACACACACAGAGCATCTCCATGTGCCAGATGGATACCAAAGTGGGCCAGACATGCTAGTGTGCAAAGAAGCCCCAAGTCCTGCCCTCAGGGAGGTCACAGACAAACAGGGAGAGAATGTGAACCGCCCATGACCAGGCAAGTGATGGTGATCTTACGGAAGAGCACAGCACCATGAAGGACAGGACAGAGCCATGTCCATGTGACAAGTCTGAGTCAGGAAGGGTCCAGTATTAGAGGGAAGGAGAACGGGGTCGGGGGGAGGCCAGGCCATGCAGGGCTTCTGGCCTCTGCAAGGATTTTCATCTTTGTCCTGTGAGCAATTAGAAGCTATTGCAAGGATGTAAGCAGGGAGGTGACAAATCAGTTTAATCTTAATACATAACCCAGTCTTCAGAGTGGACAAAAGACACAGGACAAGAGAGGATGCAGCCACCAGCAGGGCAGGGTGGTAGCAGCCTGCACGGGAAGAGGTGTGTGAGGGTTTGAGACTAGTGGATGAAGGGCCTGGGCACAGAGTGAAGGAGCCAGGGAGAGCGCGGAAGCGGAAGCACGCAGATGACGCCTGTGTCTGGTCGCACAGCAGAATGCGCGGTGTTGCCAACTGCTGAGAAGAGGTGTCCTGGAGAGAGACAAGGCTGAGGGATAAACTGGTTCTAGAGCACAAACGCACCGTGCCCACGAATCCAGACAGCCCACAGTGCCGTCCTGTGCTTTCCTGAAACCTCCACTCTGTCAGTTACCCAAGAGTACTCTGCTCCAGGCAGCAAATCAGAGTCTCAGGTACGAGCCAGGAACACCAATAAAATAACTGAAAATAGCTTTTGTGTTTTGCATCTACAATTTAAGGGTTATTTACAGGAAAATTAAAAATATGTTTGAAAAGATTAAAGGTTAGCACAGTCTAAATTCAGAAGACAGTAACTGCCACAGCCCTACCCAATACCAAGGGTCCTTTCAGGAGGACATGGTGCCAAGGTACATCAGAATTAGTAACGCTGGCCATGGGCTCTCAAAACCACACAGTGTGAGCGCTCACAGCATGTCACATAACCAATATCTCCTCCCTGAAATGCTCTGTTCACTTGACTTCTGGGAGAACAGGTGCCTCTAGCATCCCTCCAGTCTTCCCCTGGGCCCCTCCCCCCGCTCTGAATGTCACCCCAACTCCTCCCACCTGCAACTGTGCCCTCAACCCCTCACTCAGCCTCTAACACACAACCAAACCCCCACGTTTCACTTTTTCCCCAAATACACTCCTTCCTAGGCTTTCCATCCTCTGTAAATGCTGCTACTACACACCCAGTTGCTGTGGCCCAAGACAGAAGTCACTCACACTTAAGTCCCCACGCCAGCTGCCAGGCCCAGAGTCTGGGGTCGTCTGGCCCCTCCCCACCAGCCGTGCTGACAACTACCTCCCGACTGGACTCCAGCTTCCTTTGTTCTTTCCTACAATTAATTCCCCTCACAGTGTCACACCAGGAAGACTTTTTGATGACGATGATGGTGATGTAGGAAAGAAGGATTACGCTGGGCAGCCGAGGGAGGCTGGTAGTAATGGAGGGGCAGACGTAAAGGTGAAGCAGAGGAGTTCCAAAGATGGAACGGCCAGGCTGAAGGCAGCAGGTTCCCATCACAGCTCATCCGGGCTTTTGCCACTTGCCACCCGGCCCTGTGGCACTCTGGACATGGCCTCCCGGCCTCCCAGCAGGCCCAAACCTGCTCCCATCTCACAACCCCACATCTGCTCAGCTCCCAGAACTTTGTGAAACTTCCTCCATGACGTCACTTCCCTCTGCTTGAAGGCTGGAGTCCCGCCTGTGCAGTCTGCCCATGCCTGCACACCCTGCCTTTGTCCACCGCTGAATTTAACTGTTCCCCCCTGCAATAAGATACTTATCACCACTTGAAGTTACAGTCAGCCCTCTGTATCCATGGCTTCCACATCCATGGATTCAACTAACCACAGATGGAAAACATTCGGAGGGGGTGACCCAGCACCCATACGGAACAAGTACAAGCTCTTGTTCTGGTCATTATTCCCTCAGCAACAAAGTGTAATGACTATTTACATAGCAGTCCCATTGTACTGGTATTATAAATGTCCTAGAGATGATTTAAAATATACAGGAGGCTGTGCATAGGTTATATAAAACACCACAGCATTGTACACTAGGGCCTCGAGCACCCTCAGAGGTCCTGGAACCAGCCTCTGCAGCAGGACAGCGTGTTTCTCATCAGTTTGTTTCAATAATTCCTTGGCCCGAGACTTGTCTGTCTTGTTGGTCACTGTTTTCCCAATAACTAGTTCAAGGTTTATAGGTATTTGTTGGATAAATAAAAAAAGCACAAATTGTTACACATGGGTTTGGGAACTATTGTGTGTCACCAGCTCGGTTACTTTCTCTCTCAATCCAACTATTCCAGTTCACAGTACCCTCCTTTTCCTGAGCCATCATGCTTCTTACCATTCAGATTGCATGATTTTATCATTAATTTTCATGTAATTCACTTCATCAAAATATTTTACTACATGCAAGACATTATGTAGGACACAAAAAAAATACAAAAAACAAGTACATAAAAAATCAAAGTCATTTGGTTCTGAAGAAGTGGGCAATTCATTTCAGGTTAAAAAAATAACACCGAGAGGACACACGGCCTTCACTGATGCTCATGGTTTTGAGCACCTGTAATGCTTGCTCAGTGTGGATCTGAAGAACTTTTCTGGAGAGAGGCAGCATGAACGAGCCCCAGAGCCACCTACGTGCCACATCAGCACTGGCGCTCACGGCACAGTGTAGTTTGATGACAATCACCTTCTTATCTTTTTTAATTAAAAAAGAAATCCCCTAGGTTAAGCTATAATTAACAGCTAGAAATGGTCCGTATTTAAGGTAAATAATGTCTTGATAAGGTGCACACACATACTTACCCATTTCTTGTGATAAGAATGTTTGAGGTCTATTCTCTTGGTAATTTTCAAGTACACCATATTATTAACTACAGTCACCATATTATACAAAGTATCTCCAGAACAAGAGTTAATAAATCAAACTATGTTGGCAGAAAAAAACTCTTTTTTTGTTTTTGCTACAGGAAAAGCCTTGCTCTGTCGCCCAGGCTGGAGCGCAGTGGCATAATCTTAGCTCACTATATAACCTGTAACACCGGTGCTCAAGTCATCCTCCCACCTCAGTCTCCCGAAGTTCTGGGATTACACGTGTGAGCCACTGACCTGACCAGGAAAAAGCTTTTGTCAACTGACTTATCCAAGGAGAGGCCAACATAACTGCTGACGATGCCCCAGGACCAAATGACGCTTCCCTGACTAGGTAGCAGGTTTTAGGATCAAGCCAGACCTGTTTTACCATCTTCCCAAGTGGAAGGCATGAAGGTAAAGTGGAGAAGTTCTTGGCTGTACAATGGCGATGCAGTGAAAGCTTGCATAAGACAGAGTAGCTCACTTTATTTATATTAATTCGATAAAAATGTTATATGGCTTCAGGCCTTATTTTACAATCACTAAAAATCTGACATGGTATCTTAACTTCCTTAGTTATAATTTCTATACTAATGTGAAAATATAGTTGTAATTGTCCTTGTAAATTTTAGGATTAAAGTCAAGAGTTTATCAAATATGTATGTATAAAAATGAGGGGAATACAAAAAAAAAAAAAAAGGCTGAAAATAAAGTGTTAAAAGATTGGTATCAATAAATCTGAGGAAAGGACAGGCGATATCAGTAGGGAGAA